CCAAGTGAACATTATAGATGAATGTCGTTGATGGGAACACTTTAAAATATGAAGTGACATTGACATCAGAAACAGTTCATTATAAAGGAGAGAGTAAATATTTTTTAATGTGTAATCAAGTCATTAATGAAACATTTAAAATACCATTGAAGATAACTTTTATCTGGCGTCAGTATGTCTAAATATTTATACTTATGTTTGGTATTTTGCATGCAACACTATAATCCTTGTTATGAGCATTAAGAAAATGTTTATGTCTTTTTCTATAAAGAATCGTAACCTTGTTCACGATAGTATATTACGACTGCATTTTCAGAAATGAACCTGAGTTTGACCCAAATGATACTGTTCTATTCTCGTCCAAATCGCCATGTAATCATTGCACGTTTCATATCCGTCATCTTGGGATTAAACATGTTGTCGCACCAGAAAGCAGTCAATTACCTCCAGCTGCTAGTGGAGCAATTGGTTATGGAAAGTTTGATGAATATTGCAAAGCTGATGCCATTAGCAAATATATGGTAAATATGTCCTGTTATATAAATCGTGGCAGAAGATTGAACAATGAATCAATCAGTCAGTCAGTTGCTTGACAAACTTGTTAGTGTGTGTAATAACACAGCCTAGTATCATCGTCATTACAAACCAAAACAAATTACACTAACAAAACTTCTAATATTATGTAGTTCACGTGACGTTGGATAACTACGTCTTCATAGTGGAGTAGTTATTTAAATTGAGATGGCTGGTGTTAAGTGTTGACTTTACATGCTTACTTTTTCAGTTCACTGACAGTCGCAAGTGTAACGACAACTATGCCCAAGGAGATGAAGAGAAGCAACAGTAAAGCTATAGTTTTTGCCCGTACCATCAAAGATAGAAGGCGTTGTCGTTGTCGTTAATAATTTTTATTGTGTGCACAATAACTTTACTAATTCTATTCCAAACTTATTCATCTGTATAAAGTCTTCCCTGAGTTTGAACAACAGATGTTCTGAATGAAAATATCATGCAAAAATTGAGAAAATCTGATAATATATATTTTGACTGTTTCTACTTGACTGATCACTGGTGATACGCATTAAAAGTCACTGATCTCAGTGGAAATATGCATTGTTGTATGTGTTCAATGAAGCAAATCATTTATCTTGTTATAATATCTTTGGTAATGTATCTCCCGAATCCCATGGGAATACTATACTTGGTTTCAAAACCAACTCGTGGAGAGATTTTTTGCACAGTCCGATATACATTTGCAAACCTACCAATAACATCTTTACAGAAAACAAGATGTCAGAAAATCAATATAAGCACGCCTATGAACTGGGTGCCGAACTTTGATCAAGATCTGAAGCTAATAGAAAATATGTTTATTTCAAAATTATCGTTAAGGTTTATCCAAGGCTAATATATCAAAATAATTGGTCTCGTGATTTTCAATCAAGTTTCAAGTCACAAATCATATTGTTTAGGGCTGTAACAAATGGGTATAAAGAATGTGTTGCTTTCTTCAATATGCCTTGAAAATGATTATTTGTTATTCATCACAAGTGAAGAGCTTTGAACTAGATGTTTTTAATGTAATAAATAACTTTTATGATATCATATTGAAGTAGTTCAGTGTGTTCATTAGCTACATATACAGCACTCAACATCAACTGCAACTGTGAGTTTTATCATGAAATACAAATAATTGACTTGTGTTTGCAGTATTTACTTTTTTATGAATCTAGTTTATTCTTCTTGTATGACAAATATATTAATATGTTTCCACATTTTGGCTTTTCTGGCCAACAAAATTGTCACACGCAACGTAATATTACCGTAATTGGTATAG